AATAAAAGTGCACAATACACTACTTTTGAATTCATTATTGAACTTTGTGCATAACAATGAGATTAATCGCGATTAAAAATTGTAATCGTTGCCCAGCACTAATATATATACTGTATATATTTACTACCTGATGAGATTCGGTTCACTGGTTTCCTGCCTCTGGTTCCTTCAAAATAAAGTGCAGATGAACACTGATACTCTGCAGGTTTCCACCTGAGCAGGTGATGTCATCGTTAAGCCCCGCCCCTCTACCTGGTGAGTGGGCGGGGTCTGGGGTGTGGAAGAAGCGCTGCAGACTGTTGTCTCTCTAATGAGCCTTTTATATAAACTGTTCACTTCCTGGAAGCCTTTTAACCTCAAAGAGGGAGAAAAGTGTAGAAGAAGAGGTGAGTGTTGTACTGCTGGAGTCACAGCTGAGTACTGTGAGTACTGCTGTGTACTGTGAGTACTGCTGTGTACAGTGTGTACTGTGAGTACTGCCGTGTACAGTGAGTACTGTTGTGTACTTTGTGTACTTTGTGTCATGGGACACCGGTCTCTCCTGTGTGAAAACAATCCAGTATTTCATTTAGAAAACATGACTTATAGAATACATGAGAAATAAGCATGAGGGTTAGCTTTAGCATTAGCATTAGCTTTAGCTTTAGCTGAAGGAGGAGCTCAGAGGTAATTGTAGTTTGACTTGTTCTGACAGGAAGAAACATGACTGTCATTCCTTTGTCTCAAGTCTTCTTCTGTCTGAAATAAGAAGCTTCACGTCACGATTGTAGTAGTAGTAGTGGAAGGTACTCTATGTGAGTACTTGTACTCTACTTTCCTGTCGTTGTAAAGGAACAACAGTCAGACTGAACAACATTCACTGTTTTTCTCTTCTTCATGTTTGTTTTCAACAGAACGCTAATACATTGCTGATCAATAAATATGATCTGATGATGTCATCCAGTCTGAAACGCACAGAAACTATTAATATCTAAACACAAAAAGCTTCACATTAATCAATATAATTTAACTACGAATATAATAAGTAGAGGAATTCAACAATTTTAATTTTAAAGTACTTGTACTTTATTCGACTATTTCCTTTTTCTGGTACTTTCTTTTTGTACTTTTTGGGGTACTTTTTACTGTACTAACTATTTGATGTCTAACATAATGTTTGCATCATGTTTGCATCATGTTAGCATCATGTTGGCATCATGTTGGTATCTTGTTAGCATCATGTTGACATCTTTTTAGCATCATGTTGACATCTTTTTAGCATCATGTTCGCATGTTGTTAGCATCATGTTGGCATCGTGTTGGCATCGTGTTGGCATCGTGTTGGCATCACGTTGGCATCACGTTGGCATCACGTTGGCATCACGTTTGGATCACGTTGGCATCTTGTTGGCATCTTGTTGGCATCTTGTTGGCATCACGTTGGCATCTTGTTGGCATCACGTTGGCATCACGTTGGTATCATGTTGTTAGCATGTTGTCGGCGTCATGTCGGCGTCATGTCGGCGTCATTTTAGCATCATGTTGGTATCATGTTGGCATCATGTAGGTGCTACCCTAAACAATTAATAATGAAGCTGTTTCTCACTTTTAGGGGCTGATGATCAAATGTGACGTTTGACCCCTGACCTTCAGAGTCACCTTCTACCTGAGGGGGGTGGGGCCTGAGGAGCCCTGCGCCATCACCATGGCAAAGACTTCTTCCCTGCTCGGCAGAGGTGAGTCTCTCGTGACATTTAGCATTAGCATTAGCACTTGTACTCAATATAACCCTTTTTTCAAATGATTTTCCTCCGGTCTGGGCCGGGTCCTGCAGGACTGGGTCTGGTCCTGGTGGAGTTTCATTATGAGTACCAGGGTCGGGACGGCGTGCTGGTCTCCATCAAACCCAACGAGCGCTACGTCCTGCTGGCTAAGACTAACGACCACTGGTGGCAGGTCCAGAGGGACCGGACCTCCAAACCCTTCTACATACCAGCCAAGTACGTCAAGGAGCTGCCAACGGACTTCCCCTCGCCTCTGGACTTCGATGTGCCCAGTCCTGAACCAGTGCTGCTTCCTGTGGCAGTCCCCGTCCCCGTCCCAAAGACTCTGGAGGACCCCAGAACCAAACCTGCGGATGAGGTGATGATCCGACTCAGACCCGAAGCTTCCAAAGGATACCGCAAGACGGAGAACCGCATGTCCACGTTTGGGGTCCCGCTGGACTTTCCTGACCCGTTGGCTTCGGCGGCACCGGCACCGCGGCATCCCAGCAACCCTCCTGCTGGTCCCGCAGAGACCGGGACTACAAACATGGCCGACGTTCCTGTGAGCAAAAAGCACCTTTCGGGGTCCCCGGAGGTTCTCAGGGACTCCGACAAATACAGAGTTCCTAGTTTCAGTCCAGCAGACCCCGTCTCCATGCCGAGGACCCAGACCGAGCCCATCCCCGTAGAGATGCCGATGGTCCCGGTGGTCCCCCCACACAAACATCACCACAGCTCGTCCGAGGAAGAGGAGCTAGAGGAGGAGGAGCTAGAGGAGAGCAGCAGCAGCGGACAGGAGGATCCAGTAAAGGAGGATTCAAACCACATCTACGAGTCCATCCAGGACCTGAATCTCGACCTGGAGGCTCTGGTCGGAGGAAGAGGGATTCCCAGGGTGCCGTCTGAACCTGCACCGGCCCCGCCCCCTTTACAGGTGAGACCAGCTGTGACCTGTGGGTCCCATCAAAGCTTCTAGAGCGCTGGTCCAGTTCAAAGGCCACATTCATTATATTTAAAATATATATAAAGTATAATAAATATACACATTATATTTAAAATATAAATATAAAAGAATATGATGTTAACAGGTGAAGTTCAGGCAGATTTCAGAGCAGTCTTTTTACAAAATAAAAAGTAATTTCCTGCAGCGTCCACACGGGAAGTCAGAGCAGCTTTGAACTCAAGCACTGCAACCTGGATTTAAACCGTTAATTCTGTTGGGGGGGGGGGGGGGGGCTGGCTCTGTGTGTGTCTGGTGATGTCACAGCAGGATGTGATGAGGTCAGCAGGATGTAGTGATGTCACAGCCGGCAGGATGTGTTCAGGGTTGGACAGGAAATGGGAGGTCTGTGGGGCCCCTGGTGGGTCAGTAGTTAATGTCAGGCAGTGTAGACCAGCAGTGACCAGCAGGGGACAGCAGGGGACAGCGGGGACCAGTAGGGATCAGTTGGGACTAGCGGGGATCAGCAGGGGACCAGCAGGGACTATCAGGGACCAGCAGGACGCTGTCCTCCTCCAGGACAGAAACACTGATGTCAGATCAGTTATATCAGCTGACTGTGGAGTCTTTGAAGAGCTTCATGGAAAAGGTTCTTGAGGGGAACCTGGAGGAGGTTCTGAAGGACCTTGAAAAGGTTCTAGGACTCCTTGAGGAGGCTGTAAAGTGACGTAGAGGTTCAGTCCGATTCAAAAATGTGGATTCCCAGAAAAAATCCAGACAGCCCATCAGCAGGCAGGGGGCGGGGCCACATGCTCCAAAGGGGCAGGGGGCGGGGTCACAGAGCTTCAGTCCGACAACATGAAACAACTTCAGTTACAGACGGATCACAAACTTTCTGACATGTTTGATGTTGAAGACAATTTGAATCTGCAGACGAACAGAGAAAGGCATTCTGGGTAAGTCTGATCTAAACTTTAGGTGGCTGGTTGAGGATAAAATAACTCTGACAGCTTTCAGACTTTATTAAAGAGGCTACTGTGACCTCTGACCTTAAACATTCAGAGGAGTCACACCTGATCCTGGTCTCATCAGACCTGATCCTGGTCTCATCAGGTCTGTTATGTGTGTTACTTTATGGAATCATTCTCTGTTACAAGTAAAAATCTTTATCTTTATCTTTACCAACATATGTAAAGTACTGAAGTAAAGATACAAACAGGTTTAAATGATGATGATTAATAACGTGTTGGTTCTGTTGGTCTTGAGGTTCATTGGTGGATCATCATGCTCCTGGTCTCTCTGTGTTGGAGGTCTGTTCAGGTCTGACCCTCAGGTCCCTTTAAAGGAAGACCAGGTCTCTGTTTCTCTTATTTCAGGTTAAAACCTTCAGCACAAAGAAAAATGGGAGACTAAAATACCTCTAACTAATAATAATAATAAAGTCAGATATCCTGGTGTTCATTTAATGCATCTCAAAGGATGAACATCTTAATATTTTTTTTTAACAATTAATCTGTTTAATGTGTTTTATGATTATAATGATTTTATAACTTTTATCTCAAAACTACCAAAACTTTCTCGGGTAAATCTTTAAAACATGAAATATAATTCAACATCAAGAAAAGACAGAGAAACTCTTGTGTGTGTGTGTGTGTGTGTGTGTGTGTGTGTGTGTGTTTATGAAACATGGGAGGAGTACTTCCTGTTTTTTTCTCTTCACTCAGAAACAGTCTTCAAACAGTTAGTCTTCATGAGGAGAAGAAAACAAACCTCTAAAGTTATTGATCGATCATCGGTCGCAGATTCATTTTCTGTTGATCGATAAGTTGATTAATCGACTAACTGTTCACATACAAAGATAAAGAAGTGACTCATTTCTGTAAATTTGGTGTTTGTTCATTTAAGATGAAGGTGAATCTATCCTGTCGCTGTAGGGTCTCTAAGGTTTCTGTGTTTTGATGACTCGTCTAAAATAATTGACATACTGTCCCTTTAAACTCTCTCTCTGAAGGACGTCGGGTCGCTCCACCTGAAATCTCCCATCTACGCTAACGTCTCCTCTGTGAAGAAAACAAACATCCCTCAGATCTCCATCTCTGGCCCCGCCCTCCCCTCATCACCTCCTCCTGGCCCCACCCCCTCTGTTCCCGGCCACAGCCCCTCCTCTTCTGTCTCCTCATCCGGGATGATAAGCCCCGCCTCCCCCCTCAGCCCACAGGATGACTGGCAGGTAAGGTGACCTCTGATCTCTGATAGGTGTGAATTACGGGTGCGAAGTACTCCTGTGAAGTACTGGTGGGAAGTACTACATACTAGATTCCCGTATATATGTGACCAATGTAATGAAGTTTTTTAATGTCTTTTTTTAAAAAATTACAATATTTCCCACTGAGTCGTGAGTAAATATTGTTTTTTTTATTGAGGGTAGATATTTTATCTTTTCAAATTATACACTTCAACCAAAACATCTTAAAAAATTGTTAATTTACACTTTTAATTAATAAAGTTGTGAAAACCATATTGGTGCAGTAAATACGAGTGTACCTGAACGCACCATCAGTTCTCCAGCTGATTCTACTGAATAGAATCCGTGTCTACTGTTTAAACCACGTTCAGGTTCACACGGACCGGGACAGCGGGAAGAGGTTTTATTTCCACCCTGTAACCAGACAGACCACCTGGTCCGACCCCCGCAGCCCTCCACCCCCGCCCGATGGAGACTTGGACCAGTCCAGGGGGGGCGAGGGGGTTCAGCTGACCTCCCCCTCTCCTCTGCTCTCCCCCCAGGTACCAGTTGTTAGGATCAAAGTTTGCTCCAGATTCAAACGTTAAGGTAAACGGATGACGTGAAAACGACCTGCTTCCTGTCAGGGTTCTGCTGTTTGGGACCAGCTGGTGGACGAAGTCTCAGGGAGGTTTTACTACCACAACCCCAGCTCCGGAGCCACGACATGGTCCGCCCCAGAGCCCACCTCCGGAGCCACGACATGGTCTGCCCCAGAAACACTCCCCCCCTTCTCACCCCCAGGGTCTACAGCCAACAGGAGGCACGACGACGGCCCGGTGAGATCCTCAGATAAGTCTGGATTAGGTCTGGACCTAAATCACAGCAGAACATGATGTCACAACAACAACAAAACTAAATTAATATTAACGAAGAACAGTCATGTTTATTAAAGTGAACATTTTATTTATTTTAGCCTCCGCTGCCCGAGGAAGATTATCCTTCATCACAGGTACACGATGACAACAATGACGTCTTCACAACGGTAAAACACCCACACGTTGATTTTACAACGTTGACATGTGAATCCCTCGTTAACTTTACTGTTAAATCTCCAGCTTGTCCCTGGTTGTTTTTTCCAGAATCCTCTGCAGCATGTGTGTTTAATTCCCAGAGCTCAGCTGGACCTGAAAGATGAAAACGGCTCCCCGATCAAGCTGCAAGAGGTAATAAACCAACATTCATGACTTTAAAATCTGATCCACAAACTGATTAACAATCTGCCTTATCATTCATTCATTGATGGTTCTAGCTTGCACATTTGCCCCAAAATCTGATGGGAAATGGAGTTTCTGAAGAGGGAACGACTGTGCAGGTCAAGAACTGGAGACGCAGCGGAGCTGAAGAGGTGAGTTACACCAACATAACAACAGGTAATAACTTCTACAAACAGGTGATAACTTGCTCAAACGGGTGATAACTTGTACAAACGGGTGATAACTTGTACAAACGGGTGATAACTTGTTCATACGGGTAATAACTTGTTCATACGGGTAATAACTTGTACAAACAGGTAATAACTTGTACAAACAGGTATCAACTGAACTTCTATGGGGTTTTGCCTTTAAAGTCGATTTTGTGTTCCAGACGTTTGCTCACGGCCACAGGAGGAACGTCTCTGAATACATTGAGGTGTCCAACAGAAGACCCTCCCCTGAAAGTCCACAGGTAGACACACACTTACCTGTCTCAACATTACATACCCACTCACCTGTTCTCCTGCCCTTCATTTATTAATTTAACTTATTCATTCATCCATCATCATTCCATCAATGTTAAATAGACTGTACTTGTATACAGCTTTTCTAGTCTGACCACTCAAAGCTCTTTATCACTACATGTCATCATTCACCCATTCACACACTCATGACAGGATTAGGGAGCATTTTAGGGTTAAGTGTCTTGCCCAAGGACACATCGACAGCGGAGCCGGGGATTGAACCACCGATCCTCTGATTGAAAGAAGACACTGCTCTACCACTGAGCCACAAGCCATCCATTCATTAATTCATTGATTTATTGATTCGATTTATAGATGTATTGGTTGATTGGTTGATTGGTTGGTTGGTTGGTTGGTTGGTTGGTTGGTTGATTGGTTGATCATCCTATTCTCCTCCATAAAGCTCTCTGATCGGCACAAACTGAAGAGGAATCTGTCAGATCGGAGTTCAGGTTCCCACCAGCTGCACGTATGTCCTGCGTCCTGATTGGCTGCTGAAGTTGTTGGGTGTCTGTTGGGTGATCCAGTCAGATCTGCTGTAGTTATCATGGAAACCATGGGAACCGTTTTACTAACTTTTGTTGGGACAGATGAAGAGTCAAACTAACATCTCATTTCATTTCTGAACCTTTTGGCCAGATGTTTCCTCTCATGACGAGATGTTAGGGTCAGAGATCACAGAGTTTACCTCATGTGAACATCTCTCACTGAGGAAAGTTCTGCTCATCATTCTGATGGTTCTTCTGGTTCTGTTTGTGGTCCTGTTGGTGGTTCTACTGATGGTTCTTCTGGTTCTACTGATGGTTCGACTGATGGTTCTTCTGGTTCTGTTGGTGGTTCTACTGATGGTTCTGATGGTTCTGTTGTGATTATGTAATCAGAGTTATGACCTCACAAGACGACACACATACACATACTCTCACACACCACTTCCATGTTTACACAGGAGTCACATTTCAAAGCGGACCTACAGGTTTAAATTCACCTGTCTATCTCTCTGCCTGTCTCTCTCTCTGTCTCTGTCTCTGTGTCTCTCTCTCTGTCTGTCTGTATCTCTGTCTGTCTGTTTTTCTGTCTATCTCTACAGGGCCATCTGCTGGAGAAAGCAGGAATCATGAATAAGACCAAAGTAGTCGATCACGGTAAAAAGATCCGGTGAGATCTCTTAGTTCAAACGACATGTAGTGTTCATTATATGTATGTGTGTGTGTGTGTATATATATATATATATATATATGTATGTATGTATGTATGTATGTATGTATGTATGTATGTATGTATGTATGTATATATATGT